GTATCAATTTATGTAGCCACTGTCACATTGAATATAGAACAGTTGCTTCACTCTAGAAAAACTCATTAAAGCCCACATCTTCCTCGTACCCTAGTCCCTGACAACTACAAATCTTGTCTTTGTTATTGACTATAGTTTTATATTTTCCAGAATACCGTATGTGTAGAATCTTAGTTTGTGACCTTTTGAGACTAGCTTCTTTCATTCAGCAAAATTACCTTGAGATTGATTCAAGTTGTTTGATTGTTAGTTTGTTCCTTTATGATTGAATGATGTTCTACCACATGCACTGGCTCTTAGGTATTTTATTTTGTTTGTTTGTTTATGTATTTTTTTTTGAGACAGGATCTTGCTGTGTGGTTCAGGTTGACCTTGAGCTCACTTTGTAGCCCAGGCTGGTCTTGAACTTGCAACGATCCTCTTGCGTTAGCCTCCTGAGTACTGGGATTATAGGCATGCACCACCACATCCAGCTGTCTCAGATATTTTAAAATAGTGGAAGACTTAAACCCACGCAAAACCAGTATAAGCATATTTCAGGAGTCAGATAGTATGAGTGGACTGCGTTTTGCCATCTGTTTACATGGGTTTTTGTGATTGCAAGTAGAGCTGATGTGAACATTTGTGCGTACCTCTTTTTCTGTGAATGAATTGTTGGGTCATACGGTAGACATGTATTTAAATGCATCAACACTGCCAGACTTTACTATAAGACTGTAGCAGTTTGTGTATCTACCAACAGTGTGGTAGTTCTAGAATCTTACAATTGTTGGCAGTACTTGATATTGTTAGCCTATTTTAGCCACTCTGATGGACAGGTAATAGTATCTCATTGTGGTTTTATTTTGCTTTTCTCCAGTGGCTCATGTTGAACCATTTGTTTCCTATGTAAAATTGCCTGCTGAGTATCCTGTTTGGTTGAAGTGTTTCTGTTTAGATCATTTGCTCATTTTAAAGTGGAGCTGTTTGCTTTATTTCCTGAATTTTAAGTTTTTGATTCTGGAGGCAAGTTACTTGATTTTTTTTTCTCCCAGTCAGTAGATTTTCTTTCCTTACTTCCTTTCCCTTTCTCTTTTCCTTCTTTTCAACAGTGTCTATAAAGTAAAAGTTTTTATTTATTTATATTTTTATTTTTTATTGGTGCCAGGGATCGAACTCACGACCGCACAATTGCAAGGCAGGGGCTTTTCAAGTTAGGTTAGCAATTGCTTAGCATTCACAGATGATCCTTCATCACTATAATGTAAACTTTTCCTTTGATTTACTGTGATTCTTTAGAAATGTGATATGATTGACTGGATAGTGATAGTGTCCTCCTAAAGGAAGGGTTTGTGTTGAGAGTTAATCAGTGGCTTAAAAGAATCAGCATTTAGAATTATATAAATACTACTAAAACAATAGAAAAACATTCATGTTAAAGAACTTGTACAAAGAAAAGAAATAGAAATGGCTACTGTGCCTCTTTGTATAAAAATGGTTTCCTAATCCTGGATGTCATATCAGAATTGTCTAAATGGATTTAAATGGCCTTTTATTTGCACACAGAGATTGTCTTTGCATTTTATGTGGCCCCAAGGAGAGTTTTTCAGATGAATTTTATATTTACATCAGAACATATTAGAATGTACAGAGATTACACACACACAAATGTCTTTGTAATACATTCATTATGGTTAGTGGACCTACACGAACACATCATTCTCACTAATAGTTGAGAGTTCACTTAACATTTGCTGTGAACCCATTTGTGGGTTTAGGTAAATGTGTAATGACAGTTTGGCTTTTCGTTAATTTTAAGAATGCTTTGGCAATAGTCACCTATGAAATATTTTTGCAAGTATTTTCTCCTGGGCTATAGCTTATCTTCGCATTTTGACTAAAATCTATCTTACAAGGCACAACTATATAGGATGAGCCATTATAATCTGTAGGCCCATTTGGCTCTGGAATCACCTCTATAGCAGGGTTCTGTATCCTTTGACTTGCTGGTCCAAAAAATAATAGTGATTTTATTAGAGGATGGTACTAACAGTATTACACACACACACACACACACACACCTGTTGCATCACTTTCGTTTTCAGTGCTTCTTGGTAATATTTTTAAAATAAGGTTAATTTTTTTCAATTAATGTATATTTTAATTTATATACCAATGTAATATCTTGCAAAACACATTTTAATCTTCATAAAGGCTTAAATATCATCTTATTCGTAGCATTATATTGTGTATGTTAGAGACAGTATTCATTTTTCTAGGGTAATGTTAAAGGAATTTTTTGTTCAGTGATCTAAATAATTAAGAGGATATTGCAACAAGTGTACATAAGGCTTTTATTTTGCTTTTACTCACGTTTGTGTATATGCACGTTTAAAAATAAAATTCACTCTGAATAGTACCTATTTTCTAATTAGTAAAAGTTTTCGTTAGTCATCATTTTCAAGTATGATGCAAATAATACAATCATTTATGATGCATGGTAGTTGATCTCATTTTTATTTTGATGAAAAACATACATAAATTATAAATACCCCAAATATTTGTTGATAGATTTCATTTTGAAACGTGTAATCAGCAATGTTAGAAAACAAGTCTTATAAAATTAGTTCTTTATTTAATTGGTCAGTTTTTCATTTATTTTGCAAATGTGCCAGGTGCTTTTAGAAATCATTTCCTGATTCGAAACATGTTCCAGAATCAGAATGATTTTAATATAGTTTACATTCAACCTGATTTTGTAACAAGTTGTACACACGTTCACTTAAGACCTTAAGAATGATAAATTGACTAGTCTAATATTTGGAATAATTTTGTATGTAGTACATTTTGCTCTACCCTTGTTATGATTTTAATTTAAATGTTACTCAGTTTACTGGTTCACTGAAAGTCTTATGAAGCTTAGTGAAGAATTTTGTATATAGGCATATTTTCAACTTACTGGTTGTCTCAACTGCTTTGAGACTTATACAATTCCCAGAGTTAATGAGTTGAAACTAACTATGTATCTATTTGCATAAAAGTATTTGTTTAACATAATACAATCAGCTAATCAGTATGGATATTCATCACTTGATATAGTCAATGTGTTCATGAAGTAATTTGTAGGGGCTATTATCTTAAAGCTATAGGGAGCTTAGGTTATTCTTGTGAGTAAAAAATTACATAAATATAATGTTTCAACTTAGGAGGTATAGTAATATTTATACTTTACATTTAATTCTAAGTGTAAAATCTAGTGAACTTTTCCCTCATATAAGAAAAAATAAATTAGATGTGGCTTTCTTGTAATGAGATATATTTTCTTAAAATCTTTGGCACTTCCAGCCATTGCTTATGCTTTATCTACCTTGGAATGGCATTATATTCACATGAATTTATAAATCAGGTGTTTAGATCTCTATGTATCTTAGTACACATGTTAAACAGTACATGTTTTCCAGAAAGCCTAATGACTTCAGATTCTCCCTAACATGGAAAGGTCTAACCATTAACTCGTACAGATAATGTGTCATAAAGAATGGTGATATAATGTTGTTTCTTTAATATTAAGGGTTGAGCTTGGCCGTGGGTTGGCTTTGATAACTGGAGAGGTTGGTGATAGTATAGGACATGTCCTTTGGTATCTCAGGGTTAGTTCCAAGACCCCTGTGGATACCAGAATTAATGGATGTAAAATAGTGTATTTGCATGTACCTTATATCTTCTGTGTACTTTAAGCCATCTCTGAATTACTTTATAATACCTAAAACAATGTAAGTAGCTGTTACATTATTTGGGAACCGTGACAAGGAACAAAGATCTGTACATGCTCAGTACAGACATCTGTTGTTCACCAAATATTTTCCATTCCTTGTGAAATCTGTGGATGTGGAACTGACAGATACAGAGGTCCAGCTAAGATGTTAGGAACTTGGAAAAACTTAAGAACCACTTCATTCTGAAGTAAAGTCTGGATTCTGTTTTTAAGGCAGGTAATCTTTCCATCCAGCTGATAGTAGGAAAGAATAGTGGTCAGTAAGTAACCTCTTTGTTAAAGAAGGTAATATTCTGCTTGTGGATTGTGGAAAGGAATTCTTGAAGTTTGACTACTCCTTTAATAGGGAATTTTGGACTTGGGTGTATTTTGTGTGCAAAAGTAAGTGTCCTGAAAGTCCTTACCAAGGTGAATCATCATTGGAGGGTCAGGGTGAAAGAAATGGTCTTCTGCAGTAGGCACAATGTGAGTGTAGGAGGAACATGTGGAAAAGATAGTAATGCTGTCACATAGAGGTATTTACAGTTAGCGTAGGTTAAAGAAAGAGGGGCTATTTGAATAAAGTCAGCAAAAGACCTCTATATACATGAAATTTGAGTGGAACAAAGTGAGAAAGGACTTTGAAATAGGATACGGCAAAACACAAATATCTATAATCATGTTCCTTGAGTGGTTTTCAACTCCTTATGTGTGTTACTAGTGTTCAATCCTATGAGAACGATACTGTTTCACTTGTAGGAAACTGTGGCCCAGAGACTAAATAGTTTATCTAAGGTCACACAGTTGATCAAGGGGCAGGATTGGAGCTTAGGCAGTGTTACTCCATATCAGTACTCTGAATTATTGTTCAGGGACAAGAGAGAGAAGATATAGTAGGAAGTTTAGTTGGAGCAGTAGCTTAGGGCTGGTTATAGGGCCTTGAAGTTGAGTATAAGAATCCAGGATTTTATTATGACCATAATGTTAAATGATTGGAGAGTTGAAAAATTCCCAGAAGGTTGCTTTATGATTCTGAAAGTCAAGAGAGAAATCTGAACTAAACATACACATTTGATAGTTGTCTACGTATAGGTTAAAGTTTAAGATATTTCTACTGACCTGTAACATACTTCTTTGATTTAAAATTACATATTCTTTTTTACTAAACAGATATGTGTGCATGTACATATTTTTGCCTATAAATATATATATATATATATATGAGTGCATGTGCATAACAAACTGTAATGAGCTGTTCTGTTAATAGGTGAGAGAAGATGTACTAAATTCGCTGAATAACAACTTTCTTCAAACACTAAATCAAGCTTGGAATGATCATCAGACAGCTATGGTGATGATTAGAGACATACTAATGTATATGGTAAGTAGAATTTTTTTGAAGTTTCATTTCTTTAAGAAGTTAAACATTTGAAAATAAAGGTCAAATTTAGTTGTGTGGCACATCTCATTGTGAAATGTTTTTGTGTCTTTAATAGTATTTCCTGGATTCTATAGTGTATGGAAATAAAAAAAAAACTTACTTGTTCACATAGTTACTGAATGATTAGATGAAAAATGAAAGAGAATGACATAAAGTTGTTTTTCTTAATATGTAGTCTTTGTTCTTTAAAAGACAAAATGTTTTTCAAAGATCTTATTACCATCACTTCTTAAGGATGGTTGAATAACAACATGAGAAGTGAAAGCTGAGCATTTTCTTATAAGCTTGTAATTTCTGAATGTTTTGTCTTCAGTGACAGATGTCTTATTAAGTGTTTTTCTAATAACTATACTCTTAATATCTGGCATCGATGTCTCTTACTAGTAAATATTTGCATTGTATGATTGTACCACTCTTGTTTTAAGGCCAGTGGCTTCTTCAAGATTTATATTCCATTTTTTACCTACTAACACTATTTTCATTTTTGTCACTCAAGAGAAAGATCCTGGTAAGCAAGATAATTTAGAAAACACTGACTTGAACTTGAAGTTGTTCAGTAACTTTCAGGGAGATTACATTCTTAATTTTGTAAAAACTTTGATATGAATCTAAATTCCTGTAGTTTAATTATTGTATCACTAAGGAATTAAGTCTTTTTTGTTCTAATTGAATTCAGTCAAGCCTTTACCCCTGTTTTTTCAAGGCCTCAATGGCAAGAGGGTCAGAAAAGGCTAACTTGACTGTTCAGGAAGGTAATAAAAGATGTAGCAAGTTACTTAGCTTTTTTCTGTGTCATTTTCTTTGTTGAGTTATAGATTCACTTTCTGTTCTTATTTTGAGGGTACAACTGTATTATGTCTAGCATATATTGTAATATGAAATAAGTAGCTTGCTAGTATTCTCTTTAAACTTTTGATTTGAGAATTTTTAAAAATTTATACAAATAGCTAATGCTAAGATAGAAAACTAAGTATAATTTCATGGTCCATCTCTGTTTTAGGGCCATCTCTATTGATGAAATTTTTTAAAAATTTTGTATATACAGTCATTTTTTTAAAAATCTTGTTTTATTTCAGTTTTTTTATTTTTGCAATAAAATCTCAAACCTTGAGTCTATCTCTAATATGACCATGGTCAAGTAATTAGTTAATATATCTTCATTATCAAGTGAAAATAATAGTGTACCATTGGATGGAATGATGATGAGGCTTACATGAACCATTCATGTAAGGCACATAGAGGAATTGGCCCACAGAAACAAGTTTAGTAATAATTAACTGTTACTACTATTTCTTATCACTTCCTCTGTTTATCAAACCCACCTAATACATATACCACAGACTCTGAGTCACCCAGCTGATTTGCCTTTTGTGTACCTTTGCTGGAGGAAACCTCATCACACAGGATAGGTCAGTGCTATTATCTGTCGGTCACAACAGACCTTTACTTGGTGCTTCACTCTGCCTGACATTTTTATTGTTTCTTGAGTGAACTTGTCCCACAGTTATTTCTCATCAGACCTCTGTCTCTCACTAATTCCTTTACTCTTGTAAATGATCTGCTTTCTATCTTTCAGAGAAAACATCAAGTAGGAACTGTGTTTATTTTTTACCAGTAAACCTACAACTTCTATTGTCTTCCCTTTTGTGTTTTTCTTTTTACTTTGTGTTTTAATGAAGAAAAATGTGTTTTCTTCTGTGGAAGACTAGTTGTCTGCCTGTGCTATGCATCATTTCTCCTTTTGTATTGTCTGAAACCTTATGTATTTGGGGGTTCTGTGTTTTTTTTACTGAATTGTATTCATCAGCTTTGAATGTTGGAGTCATTCATGTTCTCAGAATAAAATTCCATTAAGTTTCTGACAGAGGCCTGTTACCACTCAGTGTCTCTCGCCTGTCACTCACAGGTGGTTTCATAGCAAGATGCTGATACTGCCGTCTCTTTTTCTAAACTTTTTCATTTGTTTTGAACATGGTCCAATTAACTGTTACCCTTAACTGTTCTGTTGTTTTTCCTTTATTAGGACCACTATGGATTCTGTGTGTCCCAGAATGAAAGGCCTTATTCTTGATTTTTTTTACTTTCATCTGCATTTGGCACAGTTGACTACACTTTTCTCCTGCCCTTTTGGTCCTTGGTATCTATGACAGAGCATTCTGTATTTTCTACTTTCTGCTTCTCCCTTCTCTACTTCTCTTTCTCTTCTCTCCCTCTGTAAGTAGAGGGAGTCTTTGGACTTAATCCTAGACTTTCTGTTCTCATAGTGCACATGCTCACTTCATAGGTCTGTGTGCCTCTGTAGATGGTTACCATTTTCATCTGTCAGGTACATGGCTCCCTTCACTGTCTGCAAGTACTTGAACTTGGCACAACCAAGGAAGCTTGTAATCATAGCATTCCAGGTGTTCATACCAGAAACCTAAGAATTGTTTTTGTCGGTTCCTTTTTCCTCTCTCACCTATTGCTAGAATCTGGAAATATTTTTTTTCCTGCTTTTCTGTTTGCTAGCAAAGATCATTCTATCTTCATTTTTTTCTTAGGATTTTCAGTATAGTCTTACAACATTCACTGGGCTCTTCTCTACTATTCTGTTTTCACTTTTTCCCCCTTAGAATTAGTATCTTAATGCATAAGTCACTTTATTGCCCTGCTTTGAACCCTTACCTTTCGTCTTGGAATTGCTGCAGTATATCTTGTCTTCAAAAGTAGGAGCAATTTATATAAAGGAAATATTTTAAGTCTGAAATTTCTTGTTAGATGTCATGTACTCACCCATGTGTGGTGGCTCTCCTTATACCTAGTACTATTCTTCAGCAGCACTTAGAACAATCCTATAGTAGTGCCCTCCTCCCAACACTACTGTTGCAATTTAGGGGCACTGTTAGGGAAAATAAGATTACTTGGACATAAACATTGCAACAGTGTCCTGTCTCTGTTATTAGATAGCTACTAATAGTGGAATAGCTAATGTAGCCTGCAAATGCTGAGCAAAGGGTTTGATTCACATCAGGCAGGTTCGATTGGGATTGCAAGATTTTAGCAACTCAGAATTGTTTAACGAATTCATTATCATGAGGAATTGGTACAAATACATATTGTAATCCTCTTTTTCTCCCCTTCTTCATATGTCCCCTCAGGTCCCCTTCCTGTGTCTCCAAAGTCTACCTTCCTATTTCCTATCATTTTTTATTTTTTTTCTTTAAAACATCTATACTTTGGGTTGCTCATATACAATAAATGCAATATTTAAGCTTGTGTGTCTGTTTATTTTACTTAGCATTATGGTCTCAGAGCATATCCATTTTCTTACACATGACTAAAATTTATCCTTTATGGCTGAGTAGTACTCCATCATGTTCTATATACCACTTTATCTGTTCCTCTGTTTATGGGCATGTAGGCTACTTCCAGAATTTAACTATTGTTAGTTGTGCTGCTTTAAACATGAGTATGCATGTATCTCTGTAATATGATATCTTTAATTCTTCAGGGATGATGCCTCGAAGAGGTATAGTGGGGTCAAGTGGAATTTCTATTTTTAGGTTTTTGAATAATCTCCATACTGATTTCCAGAGTAGTTGTGGAATGTACAGTTTTAAACTTTAGGATTGTTTATTTCTAAAGTTCTCCATTTAATATTTTTAGACCACAGTTGACTAAAGTAACTAAAGTCGCAGAAAGCAAAACCATCAATAAGGAAAATTTCTAACTTGTTAATGAACTGAAATGAGGACAAGGACAGTGCCTGTATAATCACTGTCATTCAGAACAACTTCCTGTGCAAAGTAATCTCTTCAGTATACCTTGAATAAGTCAATGTGGGTGTTATATAATATGTTCTTTTTTAATACAATATGTAATCTTTTCAAAATACTAACTATAGTGTTTTAGATTCAGAAAGATAACATGATAAGTTATCTTCATTCCACAAATTTTTCTCATTTCCATATCCTTCATTCTGTCATTTTGCTTTTTTTTTTTTAATATGTAGTGTTCTGGGCTTAAATAAAATACCGTTCTTCTGGGCTTGGTGATGCATGCCTGTAATCCTACCTACTCTTGAGGCTAAGGTAAGAGGATCCCTTTTGAGACCAGCCTGGGCAACTTAGTGAGAGACTGTGTCTCAGAATATAAAACTGGAAAGAGCTCAGTGCAAAGTGAGCGTTGGGTCACCAGTACTACAAAAACAGAACAAAACAAAAAACACCGAAAGGACATTTTAAGTTGAGGTAGTTTATATACATTGAAATGAACTAACGTATATGAAATTATTTTTAATAGTAGTATGCACTACTGCAACCACTACTGTAGCCAAGATAAACACTTTTAAACCTCCTCCTTTTTTTCTGTTGACATCAGCATTTTCTTCAAAGATATTTTGTTCTCATTCTTGATTCAGGTATACTGGTTATACCTGCATGGAACCTATGTAAATTTCTTGTGATTCCTGCCTCTGTTTTAATTTTAAATCTCATACTCAGAGAGGAAGGACTTCTCTCAGTCCTCATTGTCTACCCACTTGCCACCTATTCAGTTAGCTTGCTTCTTATTCTTAACAAGGAGATGTCTGTGTCTAAAATGTCATGCATGCACCTCAAGAGTATAGATGCCAGGGGATGCCCTGACTAGAAAGTGAATATGATATCACCGGTTACATGGAAACTAGCATTGGTCAGAGTTTGTGCCTCACAGCTTTTTGTTTGGCAGGTTCATTGTTTCAAAAAACAAAGTGAACGTGGAACTTGTGGCCTCTAATTTCAACAACTCCACCCCTTCCTAATGGTTGAGACTTGTATTACCTGTTTGGACCCTGAAGGCTTCAGAGTTTGTAATCCTTGGTTTTATTTAAGTTTGTTTTAAAAAATTCAATGTTTTCTTAAAGGGTTGCATGTTCAGCATTTAGGCCAGGTTTTAAGTATTCAAAAGACTAACAATCTGGA